ATGGCATAGTAACATATTGGATATCTCAATTCTATCGACTAGGTGTATGGTGTCAAGTTAGCACTACATACCATTTTTTCTTAAAAACGAGAGCTACCAATTTTTTCTTTCCACAACAAATTTTAAAGTTAAAAGCTACAATTAATGGCATAGTAACATATTGGATATCTCAATTCTATCGACTAGGTGTATGGTGTCAAGTTAGCACTACATACCATTTTTTCTTAAAAAACGAAAGCTACACATTTTTTCTTTCCACAACAAATTTACAACAAAAAAGCTACTATTAATGCCGTTGTTACCTTTTCAATATCTCAATTGTGTCGTCACTGGTGCATGGTGTCAAGTTAGCACTACATACTAAATTTTGTTCGAAAAAGGGTCAACTAATTTTTTTCAAGAAAAACGAAAGCTACAATTTTTTTCTTTCCACAACAAATTTTAAAGTTAAAGGCTACAATTAATAGCATAGTAACATATTGGATATCTCAATTCTATCGACTAGGTGCATGGTGTCAAGTTAGCACTACATACCATTTTTTCTTAAAAAAAAGAGAGCTACAAATTGTTTCTTTCCACAACAAATTTACAACAAAAAAGCTACAATTAATGCCGTTATAACATTTTCAATATCTAAATTCTATCGACTAGGTGTATGGTGTCAAGTTAGCACTACATACCATTTTTTCTTAAAAAGCGAAAGCTATACATTTTTTCTTTTCACAACAAATTTACAATAAAAAAGCTACAATTAAAGCCGTTGTAACCTTTTCAATATCTCAATTCTGTCATCAATGGTGCATGGTGTCAAGTTAGCACTACATACAATTTTTTCTTAAAAAACGAAAGCTACAAATTTTTTCTTTCCACAACAAATTTACAACAAAAAAGCTACAATTAATGCCGTTGTAACCTTTTCAATATCTCAATTCTGTCGTCACTGGTGCATGGTGTCAAGTTAGCACTACATACTAAATTTTGTCCGAAAAAGGGTCAACTCAATTTTTTCCAAAAAAAAAACGAAAGCTACAAATGTTTTCTTTTCACAACAAATTTTAAAGTTAAAAGCTACAATTAATGGCATAGTAACATATTGGATATCTCAATTCTATCGACTAGGTGTATGGTGTCAAGTTAGCACTACATACCATTTTTTCTTAAAAACGAGAGCTACTAATTTTTTCTTTCCACAACAAATTTTAAAGTTAAAAGCTACAATTAATGGCATAGTAACATATTGGATATCTCAATTCTATCGACTAGGTGTATGGTGTCAAGTTAGCACTACATACCATATTTTGTAAAAAATGAGAGCTACAAATTTTTTCTCCACAACAAATTTACAACAAAAACACTACAATTAATGCCGTAGTTAACTTTTCCAATTCCGAAAAGTGTAGTGCTAACTTGACACACGTGCCATATTGACTACCTTAGCTGAAACAGTGTTACTTCTTTAACAATTCTTTGCCTAATAATTTAGTTGAAATTTGTTTTTCTAAGTATACACATTTTGTTTTCTCAAAAAGGTATTATATCTTATTTTATTTCATTTCATTGCGAATATACTATAAAAAAGCAAATTTTGTTTAGAAGAAAATATGAAATCTTTTATTTTTCCCCCAAATAGGGATGCATTTCTTCCCGTTTTTCTTCTTATTCTACTGAGCTAAGGCAGTGTCAAATCGAGCTGTCACAACTGATACCACCTTGTATTATTGCATCATGGTAAACGAAAACAGATGTTGGTGCTGCCAGATGTCAGAATAGAATTAACCAAGACTGTGTAACAGGTATTTTCATAATATTCAACTGAATATCGTGAAATATCATTACAAGAATATATAACAGGTTTCTCCCACAAGCTACTTGTAGAAAAACTCGAGCAAAGTTCAAACTGTGAGCGTATATCAAAGAAACTCGAAAACTTGCTTGCGGAGCGCGTATATGTAACTCGAAGTGACTTCGAGAAGCTTGGGGAACAAACCTAATGAATGGATGCTTTTGAAAATTTTAATTCATGGAAAAAGTGTGTCAAATTTCACTTGAGCTTGAAATTATAGCTGTGTGTTAAGCTCGAAGTATTGTGTTATTTAAGTAGGCCTATCAGTTTTGGAATTCACTGAATTTTCAAAATTTTGATATTATGTACTTAATTTTAAATTTTTAAGGCAGATTCACTGTTCGTGTCCCGACACTTTTTGTTAGCAATTTTACGCGTTCCTTTCCCACTCTTGTCTCACTGAGAGAGTGACAAAAATGTGCTGAACACTCTTTGTTCGAATCAAATTGATTTTGATTTTCTGTCCAAACGACTTGATGATTCGGGTTGCCGCGTTCTCCTTTGTATGCGTTTGCAGCGAATTGCATGTATTATTTGCCCTTAAATCGTATGTAGGCAATAATATAATCAGCTGTTTGCCTCAGAACAAAATAAAATGTGTCGAACTGAACGGTGAACCGTACCCTCTCCGGCAAAATTTTTTTAGAGCAAATAAAAAGTTGTCCAGACACGAACGGTGAACCCGCCTTTAGTTTTTTTGTTATATTTTGGAATTTGTATTACTTTACACAGTTGAAAATCACAGCAAGTTTGAATATTTTCGTAGGTTCAGAAAACAACGAAAATTCCAAAATTTTGAATTTTATAATATTATTAAATTTCTTGAGATTTCTTATTTTTAGGATAATTTCCAAAATTTCAAAAACTATCGAAATCCGGGAGATTCTAGAAATTTTGGTAAAATGAGAATATTTTGAAATGTACAAAATTATTGAGATTTTAGAAATTTTTATATTTTCCAAAATTTTGAGAATTTTATTTATCCTAAAATCCATACTAAAATGTAAAAATGTGAAACATCACAAATTGTCGAAAAATTCTTATGTTCATGTACTCGTGTGTAAAAAATAGAAAATTCTTAGAATTCTAAGATATTAACATTTTAGAAAAATTCCAAAATTGTTCCACTTTTCTGAACTTTTCCAAAATTTTGATTGATATAACAAAGTTTGAGAATTTTAAATTTTTTAAAAATTTTGAAAACATCGATGTCCAAAAATTTTTTGAATCTTCAAGAATTACGAAAATTTTTTAAATTTCAAAAATGACGAAATATGAAAATGTTTTCAACATTCGAAAACTTTTAATTTCGTTTGAACAATTTTGTATATTCGACACTTTTACTTAGAAAAAATTTGTTAGAATTCCTACAATTCTCAAAATTTTTGAAAAATAAAAAATTTTTAGAATCATTATATTGAATTAATTGAATTATTGGGATTTACTAAAATTTCTCAAATTCACAAAGTTTTGAAAGTTTAGAAAATTTTGGAATTCCACTCAAGTTATTAAAAAGGGGAAAGTTCAAGAAATTAAAAACTATCAAAACTCTAAAAGTTTTAAATTGCGGTGATTTTTAAATTTATATACACGATATATGTTGAACAGAAACAACACAAGAAATGCTGCTGGGTCCGCCCCTGAGGCAGCTTCGCCTTATATTAAAATGCATGAAAAAAGCGCCGCAGGCGAAAATTTTTAATAAAAAATCGCGGAAGTTTATATCACAATTTTTCACTTTATCATAAAATATTGGGGAGAATTTGAATTTTTGCAAAGGGATTATAACCCTAAGTCATTTAAGTGGAAATTAACTTTAATAAAATCTTTTATTTAATTCTCATTTAATTTTTTTTCAGTTTCAATAAGCTCTTTATTAAAGTGAGTAAAAAGATGGCAGCACCGTGTTAAAAGTGATT